GCTTTGTATAACCAGGCTGTGTTTGTTCCCAGTAGTGTTTGCTGTGGCTTTGGCTGGGGCTAGCTCCCAGGACAGTTCCAGGCTTGGCAAAGCTCAGGGAGTTCACAGTGGAGCCAAGGGGCTTCAGGAAAGACATCTTTGATATAGGGGTTAATGAATTTCTAAACAAGCTTCTGTGTGTTAACCTGATAAGACTCTCCAGGGAGAAGGTCACCTTACCTTTGCAGCTCTAAATGTAAGACATGCGTTGCAAGAAAAAAAAAATGGGAAATGTCAATTGCAGTGCCAAAATGAAGAGACTGGGTATAAATACTGAATCAGTTTTAATGTTCAGTTTGTGAAATGTAACCATTTCAGCAGAACCAGCTCAGGGTACATTTGTTAGGGTCAGTGGGCTAACTGTTTTGTCAATGTCACTGGCATACACACTTCAAAGGAGAACCCAAAATAGAAAAAATGGCTAAGAGCATAGTGGTTAAGAACATGAATTTTGGAATCAAACTGCCTGGGCAAACCCTAACTCTGCTATTTACTGGACGTGTGACCTTCGGCAGGTTACCTAATCTCTTTATGCCTCCTTTTTCTCATCTGTAAAATGGGGATAATAATACTACCTACCTCACAGAATTATCAGATTAAAAGAGTTAACACCTATAAAGGGCTTTGCCTAGTGGCTGGCACATAGTGAGTCTTCAACAAATATCAGTTATTATTACTAGATCAGGTTGCTGGCAGTAAGGAAAAGGAAAAAATCCTATCCTAAAGTTTTTGTAAAGCGCAGCAGTGGAGTGTGGCTCTGGCAGCAGAGGAAAGTTCATCTTTGGGCAGGGGACAAGTTTACAAGTAAAACCAGGTGGGTCTGAATGTTCCTGACTGAGGCACAACTGCCCACTACATTCCTTTTGAGGGTCATCTTATCCACCTTCTCAATTTCTAACCAAGGACTTTGATTGTTAGGTTTTATTTTCCTTTTATACAAGCTAGTAGGATGTGTGTAAAGCCCGGCTAATAGGGTCTTCTCTAACCCATTTGGTTTCAGCTAGAGGCAAAAAGGGCAGAAAGACTGGAGGTGATCTGGGTCTGGAAATTCTAGGTTAAGACTGAGAGACTATAAATTTGGCTGACCTTGGAGAAATAAAAACATCCAATGTGAGAGGCTCACAGAAAGTAAAAGTGATTTTCCTAATAGTACACTAGAGTAGAAACCGCCCCTATGGCTACTAGAATTCTCCAAGAACTGTCATTCAAGGAGAAAACTGTCTTTCAAGCATGGAAATAGCAAGCTTTTATTTGAAATGCAGAAAAAATGAGGAGGAAAGAAGAGAAACTGTTGGTGACTTGGATTTTTTTTTTCTTTTGTCAAGAAACATGGAAGACCGCATTTTACATAGGATGGGGTTTTGGTTTTTTAAGTTTATTTATCTTGAGAAAGAGAGAGGGAGAATGGGTGGGGGAGAGGCAGAGAGAGAGGGAGAGAGAGAACCCCAGGCAGGCTCTGTGCTGTCAGTGCAGAGCCCGACACGGGACTCAATCCCACAACCCGTGGGATCTTGACCTGAGCCGAAACCAAGAGTCGGAGGCTTAACCGACTGAGCCGCCCAGGAGCCCCTCCACAGGATGATTTTTAAGAGGCTATCACCAAATAGGAGTCGAAATGTGTGCAGCATACCCCTGGTGAGTGTTATAGAGGAAGAAGAGGAAGGAAATTTAGCAGAGTATAGCCTTTTTGTACTGGGCAAAAACACTGTGCTGATTCTGGAACAAACAAGCTTGTCTTTGGGACTGGAACAAGACTCACCGTTATTCCCTGTAAGTCCTTTACCACTTGAGAGAAAGCCCTTAATCTATAATGACCAGCTCTCACATCCCAGACACCTAATGAATTTCTAAATGAGCTTCCGTGTGTTAACTTGATAAGACTCTCCAGGGAGAAGGTCACCCTTACTTTCCTGGCTCTAAATGTAAGACATGTTTTGAAAGAAAAAAATTAGGAAATGTCAATTGCAGTGCCAAAATGAAGACAGTGGATATAAATATTGGACCAGTTTTAATGTTAAGTTTATAAAATGTAACCCTTTCAGAAGAACCGTTTCAGGGCACATTTATTAGTTTGTGTCTACACAGCACAATTGTCCAGTTAATTTGATTAATGTCAGCAGCTGATCCAGATATTTAGGCACTTCCTTGAGAAAACTTCTTTGAGCTCAAAATTGCCTGAATTGACTGTCACATTACCTAAATAATTGCCAGATCTGTTTTACTTTGTGCTGTATAGACTCAGCCTAATAAAAACAAATGCTGTTTTGTTTTTCCCCCAGTCTGTCTCCTCTCCACACAGAAAGTTTGCCTTCTATTCACACAAAGGAAAGATACCCAGCAAGCCATTTGACTGATTGCTGCTGCTAGTTTGCATTTATATGACTCCTTTCCTTGGAAGAGATTAAGACACTTCATACGACTTATTAGCTAAACAGATTGACAGCCTAATTAGAAGGAGAGACGCAGATTCTGAGTATCTTTTTGTGGCTGCTGTTCCTGCCCCTTCGTGTAGAACATTTGGTCAGATTGCTCTGTGATACAGAAATGAGAAAAGGAGGCGATCTTCGTTTGTAGTGTGCGTCTTCTCTGCCATACGTGAGAGGTGGTTACAGGAGGTAGAACAGTACTAAATAGGTCAGGGCAACTGACGGAGCCAGGAGCATTTCTTTCCCCTAGAACCCTTGTGTTCCCACAAAGCAGGGCACGACAGATTTTAACATCAGCTGTTGGTGTGTGTCTACTCCTTCTTACTTTGGTTTTCAGACCCTTCCACTCCAGGTCTGTCCCTTCCATCACTGGCTCCTTTCTCTCTCCTTTGATTCCTGGCAACCATGTCCACCCCAGCACCAACCCCACCACACACTGCTGCCTGCCTCTTTAGCCCATCCGTTGTATTTCGGAGAAGTTTCTTGCCTCCTTCGGTGATCCTCAATGGCTCAGGCACCTGAGGAAATCCTCCCTGAAGGCAGATCCCAGCAGAGTCCCCACGGAGGTGGAGGTGACCACCATGGGCTACCGAACGCCTACATCAAGGCTGGCACAGGGGGCCCTGGATGAGGAACACCCCCTGGAGGAAGATCTGCGTGGAGTAAGGAACACCATGGTTTTCATGGTACATGAGTCTGAATCGTCTCCTATCTGGGAAACTGTAGCTTCCACCTTGGGACCCGAGACACATTGTCTCTGAAGAGACGTTTCACAGCAGGCTTTTCGTAGTAGGGTCAGCCACTGTGGACTGACAGGCTTTGGGGATGTGCTGCATTTTGGGTCCGGCACTCAAGTGATGGTCATAACCGCGTAAGTGTCTTTTTTCCTCTCTGTGCACGAGTATGTCTGTAAATCATATCGAGGGCTTCTGTTTTATCCCCCATTTCCCAGGGAGTACTGAGCGTATACAGTTTCCGGATCTAGCTACACTGCCAGTTTGACCATTAAGATGGTGAAATTCGTTTTAAAAATAACTTTGACTGATTTCATTTAATGCCACCAACAGCAAAGGGAAATTAGCATGTCATGGCAAGCTAATCGATGCTCATTCACCACTGGGGGGGGGGGGCAGGGTGAGGGGAGGTGGGGGCTGTCATTTCTTCTTATCCCTCCCTCCCTCCCTCCCCCCGGCAGTGAGGCCTCAGAATTCAGCTGACCTTTTCCACGCCTTTCCCTTCTGGCAGATTAAGTGGTCGTGTTTGCTAACTTTCTTGTGAAAAAACACACGAGACAGATCTATTCTCCCTCAGTTTTTACTAAGAAAGCTTTTCGTTAGTGATTTTGACAATAAACTTCGGCTAACATATTCCCCCCACCCCACCCCACCCCCGTTCCTGTTAGTAATATCTTGGCTTGAACAAGCCCATTTCCCCCACATTATTCAAAATGTGTTTCTCTGGTGTGAACCCACTGCTCTACCCCCAGCCCTTTTATCTTCTCAACATGCTCTAATAAGATAAACAGGGTCACACATCATCAGACATATTTCACAGACAGAAAAGCCAAAGCACAGACAAGTTAAATAATTTAAGTCAAACCAAAAAAACCAGAACTGAGATTATAGCTTGAGACGCCCTGTTTTCTTAGGGTGAATTATTTTGAGCTGTCATCTTTGTGAATTGAAAACAATAGGCACAGGCCATGGGAACGTGCAGGGGTTGAAATTTAACCAAAACAAAAATGGACTGTGTCACTGCACTGTGTTTTAAATGGATCTCCAAGCGTTTGTAGCTGGTAGTTATCAGCTGCATCCTGGGCTCAGGGGGTTTTTGTAGGCCTCAGTATCTCAGTGTTCGCCAACAGTGGCAAATTCTTCTTTGGGGCTGGAACCAGATTACAAGTGTTTCCAAGTAAGTGCTGGAAACCAGCGATTTTGAAAAGGTATTTTCTATTAAATGGCCAACTTGCTTTGGTACCTCCTCACGGTACTGCAGGCCGCCTAACAGTGTGCTCTGTAGGGTCCTCGGCGCCTCCACCTGCCTGGGTCCCTAGGGACTCCGGTCTCACAGGTAGAACTCTCTGTAAACCAAATCAGCTTAACCTATGTATGAATGCCATGGTTCTGACTAGAATCTTATCAGCAGTGAAAATAAGACGCTAGAGAATCAGATGCATTACGACTCCAGACAAATGATCTGTTCCTCTCTTTTGCATTTTTATTTAAAATATTGGGGAAGGCGAAGCAAGTTCAACTTCGCCGATCTGAAAACTTTATGAATTATGCTTCTCTTATATGCAGAGAGACCTAGATTGACTTTGGATGTTTAGTCATTCAATTTCACCATCTGTGTGTGGAATCTGTAATGGGCAAGGGAATCAAATATAATTAAATGAGCAAATAATCTTCAGTAGTCAATATTCCTACATTGTTTTATGTGCTTTGCTCTGGACTTTTTATCTGGGATTTATCTCTAATAGGCTCCCCGGAAGGACAGTGAAGGTTTTTGTTAAGGTTTTTGTGTCTGTGTGGATAGCAACTATCGGTTGATCTGGGGCTCTGGGACCAAGCTAATTATAAAGCCAGGTAAGTCTCAGGTGCCTGTAAGGGAGAGGAGACATGAGTTGAATAATACAGGAAGCATAGCATGCAAATTATATTTTTAAGAACAATCTGGCTTGCTGGAGACAATGCACTCAACCCAAATGGGGTTTTCACTCCCAGTGAGAGGAAATGTCAGCCACCAGCTCTCTTGTTTGGTCTAGTTGCTTCCAGAATGAATAATACTTAACTAGCCCTGTACGAGAGCAGAGCTGACTTGTTGGGGAGTATCTAATTCCCCCTGATACAGTTAGACTTCTTTCCTAAGGATAGAACTGGCTTCGTTCCACTGGAAGAGCAAATTCAAAGAAAAGAGAAAGGTCCACAGTCAAAGACCAATGGGTGAAAAGTAGTGTGTCTGCAGCTTTCCCCACATCATTGCCTCTGGCTCCTGTCTTGGGTGTCTGCAGCTTTCCCCACATCACTGCCTCTGGCTCCCGTCTTTGGATGCCTGCAAAACTTCCAGTCACTTGCTGGTGCATCACCTCGGGTTCTGGGCCTTAGTGCAAGTCCCACAAGGATGGAACTTAACAGGCAGTATCGGGGCAGGTCAAGGAAATATGGAGGCTGAAGGGATACCTGGCAAGTTGGCCTTTGCAGTGGTGGGACAGAGACGTGCTTAGCCTAGAAAGACTAGGCCCATCCTCACCCCATCCCACCATGCCCCTTCCTGTGGGTTATTGTAAGGCTCTGAAGGGCTGTGTGAATTATGGGGGTGCTGGAAACAAGCTCATCTTTGGGACCGGAACTGCACTTTCTGTGAGGCCAAGTGCGTGAGTAGTGGGGTTCTGTGTCCATGGCAAGTGGCCAGTAATGGCCACTCTGGTGAGAAGGAGGGCCGGGGCTGCCCTGGTACCCCCACGGTCATCCCTTTCCTACCATGCTACAGCCAAGAAGGGGAAACAGTACGAAGGTTGAGATAAATCCTAGGAAGAAAAACTTCTGTGGCAATGTTGTTCCTATCTAAATGCTGCAGGCTTTCTGCTCCGTGAATTCAATTTCCAGGCCACATATCTGCTCTGGTCGTACCTTTACCTGGGGAGAGACAGCCTCTGCTAACCTGTTTGTACAATTGTGTGTCAGCTGGTCCAAGCACCTTCTCCTACCAGCCATCTCTTCTTTGTCTTGTTCTTCCAAACAAGACTGCAGAGCTACAGGGGGGAGATTGCTAAGAAGTCGGGCGGAACTGACCCAGAGCTGGAGGAGGACAGAGAGGAGGCTTAGAGTAGGTTAACTCAGTTTTAAAACTGTGACCCTTGTAGCACCTTCCTGTCTTTCCTAGGTTTGTCTCCCCTTTCATTTTCCCCTACAATGAGTCCTTTTGGTTCATTCTGGACACCTACTGCTCCCAGGCTGAGGGGTCAAAAATTCAGGTTTGAATTCTTTCTCTCCAAATCTGAAGAATCAGCAAGTCACAGTCATGTCAGAGATGAGATCGAGTCTCCTCTCTCAGAGTGTACAGTTCTGACACTCAAGCTCTACTTTTAACCAAGACCTGGTACCACTGTCTTAGAGGCTCACCCTATGTCTTTTCTTCAATACCTGATGTATATTACCACCCAACCAATGCTCAGCTTTGTGATAAAGGGGCTCTTGTGAGCTCTTATGCCTGCCTTTAGGATACAACCATTCTTATAACAAAAATGTTCACTTCTTCCATTTGTTTCAGGACTTGACTTTCTAAATGTGCAGGAGATGGTGCATCCTAACTCCCTGCCCTTGTCTGTCTAAGATATCATGAGTTCACGGTGGAACTTCTTTGGGAAATGATAGGACTGTTTACATTTTATTACTCCTCCCTGGTGAAATATTTTCTTTGGCTACCACATAGACACTATTACACAGGAAGAAAGCTTTGAAATAACTTGACCAATGAATAGGGGACAGGACTGCAGAGTTTGGTGGGAGTCTGGTTGTGAGTTTAGATGGCTCTGTTGCTGGGAAACATCCCTGTAGAATAGGACTGCATCATCCCTACAGACCTGTGTGTCTAAGGCTGAGCTCACACATTTGAGAGCAAGAGTTGACAAATTATCTGATTCAGCTTTGGCAGAGTTAAACCTACAAATGCAAAAAGTTCTGAAAAGCTCATAAGTTTGGTCTTTTAAAATAAAAATGTTTTGCTTTATGTAGCACAACCAATTTTCTTCTTCCTACTCTAAAAGGCCAATTTCCAGAGACACAGGAAAAAAAAAAAATCACAGGGAGTCCAACTGCCCCCTCACCACCACACCATGTGTCTGGTGGGGTTTTACTAGGGGATTCAGTAAAGGGAGGAAATGCTGTGGGAATAACAATGACAGACTCTTCTTTGGAGCTGGAACCCAGCTGGTGGTAAAGCCCAGTAAGTGGCCATGTTCTATTTATATTTGACCAAACAAATAAATCCTGTGAAGTTAGTGAAGATTTAATTTAATATGTAGACAAATGTACCTTTTGAAAGATGACTTTTGCAAATGCATGAAACATTCATGATTGTTGAGAATAGAGCAATAACGACAAATAGATGCAAAATGAGACCTCCCCAAATTGCCTTTAATGTGGTAGCTTAGCTCTCCTTCTTCCGAAGAGAAATTGGGGCCCTGAGTTATTTACAGCCACAGTGGTTCTTAAACTACATTCTGCAATGATTTGTGTGTTTGCTGTGATCTTGCCCACCAAACAAACTTGTCTTTCGTTCTATTAAAAATGAGAATCCATCTCATTTTAAATTCTACTAATATGTATAAGGTACCTTCTTTGTCTCTCATGCCTGCATATGTATTTATTTTAATAGATCCAGTACGAAACCCACACAGTTTCCTGTTTTGACAAATGTCCACATCTAGTCCCATACGTGTCAAATTTTGCTAAAAACATACCTCTACTATTCAAATGCAATGGGGGATTAAAACAATTCAGAGATAAATTGATGGTCCCAGATGGCTTTATAAACACCTGAAAGGAAATTCAGACTAAAATAAAATGGCAGGTGTGATGGCTAGATTTTTGTTTAACGATCAATTCCTCCGTAGGGAGTAAAAACTTTACACATACCCCACTGGGGAGTATGGAAATAAGGAATTCAGGAGGCTAGCATTCCTGGGGGTTGCACCCAAGGTGTTAGTTCCTCCACAGCACCATTTTGGAGACAACAGGGCCCGTCCAAATGTCAGTCAAAAAGTTCATATTAAGAGGCATGTATTGTCAAGTTGACTGACTGGGTTATAATTGAGACTATGAAATGACCAACATAAGGAGCTTTAAAATAGGATAGCCTATTTGTGAATGGTTTAGCTGTGGGAAATGCCGAAAGACCAGGAAACAAGCTACATTGCTCCATAAGTTTGTTTAAATCTAGTAAACATGACCATCCCATGTTAATCTTTTTAAATGACTGCAATAAACAGCATTTGGGGGTCAGGTAGACAATGAGGAGGAGACAGTGGGGCTTGGTTCTTTATGAGTCAAACAAGGACCGCATCAGGGCTGGTGGTAATGGCACTAGGTGTCCATCTCTTAGTGCTGAGAGACTGTATCTGTGGACAGTGAAAGGAGAACATTTGCCAAGAGACTAGGATCCCTCTGGGCCAAAATGAATAATCCCCACTACTTCCTGCTGGCTCAGGGCTCTAGTGAGTGCAGCAAACGTGTTCTTGGCAGGGTTTGGTGACATGGCCACTCTAACAGAGCCAAAGGTGAGGGGAGGGCTCTGTAATGCAGTTCTATCCTCAGGTGGAAAATCAGATGTGTGGCTGACATGGCCCCGACCTGCCCCCATCTTTCTTTGGGCTCTGAAGGGTGAATTTCTAGCCCCATGGTTGTTGCCCAGCCATTTTTTGACTGCCATAATAGAATTGTGTTTGATATCGCAAAGGACTCTGCTGAATTGGTTGCTTTGGTAATTTGCCCTCAGTGTTAAATGAGGTCATCCAATTTCCTCTCTGCACATTTGCAATGAGCAGCATAAAATTCAGGCAAAATGACGAGGAGATACAGAGAAAGATGGCTGAAGAGATAATGAAGCCTGTTCATTACAGTAGGAGGAGATAGTGTGGGGATCTGTTAAGTCCCAGGAAGATGAAATATCCATTAAGGGGTGCTTTCCTGAAAAGTGTCACCAAGAGTTTTTGTTGTGGCCCCAATCACAGTGTGAACAAATTCTGAACAAATCATCTTTGGAAAGGGGACTCAACTTCATGTTCTCCTCAGTAAGTAAGTGCTGCTCTTGTAATTTTCTGATATTAAATCTCACAGAGTTCAAAGTTGTTTGGTGTCAGGCACGAAAAGTTTCTCAGGCTCTAAGACATGTAGGGAGCATCTAGGTCCTGGGCCCTTCTGCTCTCACAGAGACTCAGTCCTTGGTCCTTCCACAGCTCAGCCAAGTGCCAATTCTTTCCTCTCTAGGGCTGGGAAAGTTGCTGTCAGTGTTTTGCTGCTTACCTATCAATTATCTTTTTCATTGTTTATATATTATCAAGAGTACAAAATTGTGAAACTTTGCCCAGAGTCTATCTTCAGGTCTCCCCCCAGGCTTGTCCCCAGTGGACTTTATTTGAACACACTGCTAAACCCAACGTGATTTCTGGCTCCAACCTAAGTGGTTTTGGAAGTAACCACAGCCTACCTATGACCCTCTCCTTCCACTTGTTCATAAAAGACCCACTTTTTCCCATTTGGCCTCTGCTAAGATTCCTGGCTCTGATGCCCCATGCCTTCTCATTTCCCTTGTTCCAGGGATGGGTGGGAGATAACTTTGTAAAGACCTATTTAAATGCCAGAGGCAACAAAGATGGTATGTCAGCCAAGAGCAACATCTTGTGTCAAGCCTTCTCCCTGTGTGCCATTTTCCAAATCCTTTCCTTCATGTAGAAAAAGGAGGCACTCCTTTTTAGTTCTAGCACAGCAAAGAGTTCAGTATGAGGCCAGAGATAGGAGTTTCCTTCAGAACATTTTTCACAGGCTAACAATAAAGTGGAAGTTTGCAGGTGGTTCAGAAATGCATT